TCTTCTTACCAGCTCCCACACTTCCCCTTTTATAAATGGATAAACTGAGAATGCGGAACAAGAAGGAATTTCTGTAGGACGAGAACAGTATGTGTTGGTAATTACAAACATACGTTCAAAAATGGCCCAGTATATTTAGGCATCTTATCATGAGTATATCATTTTTTAAAGCAAACATTTTCTTCACCTTCTGTGCATATCAGTACACATACCAAAAGCTAAAAAGATTGTTTCAATTTCACAGCCAACTGGATTTGCTTAAACTGTTGACTAAATAATAACCTTGGAAAAATAATAGGTTTCACCTATTGGGAATGAAAGATTAATTTATACAGCTGCCTCCTAAAGTTCAGATACATCAATGAAGAAAAAATACAATTCATTTATAAGTGAAAAACATAAAAATCTGCAAGTTTTAAACATTATGCAGATGCAAAGTAGCCATTTTTCCCTGCTTTGTATATTGCTAAATGAATATCAAGGAATTATAGAATTCATTTGTTCAAAATCTTATAAATCAGTACATGTCAAGAAATGAAGAAAATCTTTACTTTTCTTTCTGTCTACTCCCTAAGTCATATTTGCTGGAATCATGAATGTTTTGCTCTAAGTAAGAATCCTTAACTTTTTTTGAAAATGAGAAGATTGAACATATAGCAGAGGAAGAAAAAGTACCCATCATAAGGAAAACTGTAGAACATTAGAATCAGTTGGAACTTTGAAAAGAGATTGTAAAATAAACCATCAATATTACGTTCCTCTTGCCCCTTTACATTTTGATTGTTTTTGTCTATACCAATAATACATTAAAGTTTGTAGGTAAGTGTCAAAAGTTTAGCACACAACAAATGTTTTACAGACACAGATTTCCCTTATGCCTATAGTAAGTGCAAAGGGCATAATGCATTCTTTTCTAAATAGCTTACCATAAATTGTCTCCAAGACTTGTCAATCTGGATGTTTGCTGATATATTTAAATAGTATTTAAATATCTGAGACCTATTATCTTTAAATTGAGTCACTTCCAAGCCAGATGTCAGAAGTCATCTCTAGAACAGTCACATATATTTATTTTTCAAGGAGTTGATGTTAAGAAAGTTCAGAATTTCATTTATTAAGCAAAAGAGTCCACAAACCAGTGAATCTCTATTGAATGGCAGCTTAGCCTGGAAGCTTTGTTTTACATAAAAACATCAAGAGAGTGTGGTATTACCAGGAATCAAAGACAAAAAGAGTTTCAAGGAACCTACTATTGAGTCTAATTCTTTTGCTTTATAGATGAGGAAACTGAAATCCAGAATGTATTTAACTTTTTAGAGCCCTACAAAACAGTTTTTCATAAATATGTATTACAACAAGTGATATCTTTTAATGTTATGTTTTTACATTTTTTCTGGAAATTTAACTTTCTTTATAATTAGAATCAATTATACTAGCACAAATTCAATACATGAGCCCCAAAGTCTTCTCATTATGTTTTCAACATACTAAAGTGGTAGCAACCAGAAGGCTTTGGAAATTTAGATCTGAGACTCTCCAGGGCTACAGAGAGGAAAATAAAGGAATCAAATGCTTATGAAGGTTGTTAAAACCATAGTGCATGTAAGATAATCTGGTAGGAGTAAATAGAGTAAAAAGCAAGCCAAGTTTCAGATCACAACCTCCAAAATATTTTGATCACTTAACTCATCAGTTCAAAAATAAATGAGAATTCACTATCAATATACTATATGAAGGTCTTCAAAAAGTTCATGGAAAAATGCATATTATGAAAAAACTATGCATAGATTTAAAAAAATTGCACCAAAATAAATTCATACTAATTTGTTATAACATATCTGAACAAGATCTAGTTTGAAGCACTAAGAAGGGTAAGACATCAATTTGAAAAGAGCCCCTATCAGAGCAACATGAATTCTGCTAAAATTGAAGCAAGTGAAATCATCAAATTTATGGTGAAGCTTGGGTGGAAGAATGGCAAAATCACTGATGCCTTTCAAAAGTTTATGGGGATAATTCCCCAAAGAAATAACTAATTCACAAATAAATAATACTTTTTAAGAAGAGACAAAATGATGTTGAAGATAAAGCCCTCAGTGGCAGACCATTCACACCAGTTTTGAGGAAAAAAATCATCTTGTGTCCCTAACTGAACTGGTCTGATGATTAACAGCACAAACAATAGCAAACATGATAGACATATCAATTGGCTCTGACTGAAAAATTAAAGTTGAGCAAACTTTCTACTAGATAAGTGCCAAAACTATTGTATTCAGAGAAGCTGCAGAAAAGATCAGAGCTTTCAATGGAAATCTTAAACAAGTGGGATCAAGATCCTGAATCATTTCTTTGAAGAATTCTAACAGAAGATGAAATATGGTTTCACCAGTATAACCCTGAAGACAAAGCACAATCAAAGCAATGGCTACCAAGAGGTAGAAGTAGTCAAGACAAAAGTGGACCAGTCAAGAGCAAAGATCATGGCAACAGTTTTGGGAGGATGCTTAAGGCATTTTGCTTGTTGACTTTCTGGAGGGCCAAGAAATGATAGCATTGGCTTATTATCGTAGTGCTTTAGAAAGTTAGTGAAAGGTTGAGCAGAAAAATGCCCAGGAAATCTGCACCAGAGAGTCCTTCTCTACCACGACAATGCTTCTGCTCTTTCATCTCATCAAACAAGGGAAACTTTGGAAGAGTTTTTATGGGACATCACTAGACATCTACCTTATAGGCCTGGTCTGGCTCCTTATGATTTCATTTTGTCTCCTAATTTCAAGAAATCTTTAAAGGCCACCCATTTTTTCTTCAGTTAAAAGTAAAAGAAACCCACATCCAAATGGTTAAATTCCAAGGACCCTCAGTTCTTTAGGAATTAACTAATGACTGGTATCATCACTTACAAAAGTGTCTTGAACTTCATAGACCTTATGTTGAGAAATAAGTTTATATTTCTAATTTTTATCTTTTAATTCCATTTTTCTATGAATTTTTTGAAGTCCCTTCATATTTACTTATTTTTATAATAAATTATACTTGATCTTGAACAAGTTACTTCAGTGACATCACACTGGTAGCTGGAAGTGGACCATAGTAAGCATATTTATACCACAGAAATCAGAAAATACTATATATCAGAGTTTTATTTTTTTCCTCCAGGGAAATGGTTGTTAGACATGCACCAACAATAGCTATCCAGATTTCAGAAGTAGTAAGAAAACATGGAGAAAGTATCATGAAGTCAGTAGGCCAAAAAGGAGAGAATAAGAAGGCTAGTTGGTCAAAATAGTCAAAAGATTTGTAGGTGTCATTGGATTGGACAATTAGGTCATGAGTGACTTTTAGAAAAAAATGGTTTCTGTAAAGTAGCTGGGTAGAGCCAGGTCACCATGGGCTTCTTGTTAATGAATGAGAAGCTAGAGAGGAAGAAGACCGTGAAGGAAGGAAGTATAATTGAGCCACAAGTCTGCACCATGGAAGTGTTAGGGATAGAAGAGGACAAATGAGTCAAAGATGGCTGGCATGGTATCTCACGCCTATAATCCTAGCACTCTGGGAGACTAAGGTGGGAGAATCACTTGAGGTCAGGAGTTCAAGACCAGCCTGAGCAAGAGCAAGACCCTGTCTCTACCAAAAATAGAAAAAATTAGCTGGACATGTTGGCGAGGAGGAGGAGAAGAAGGAGAAGAAGTCGTCAAGGCTGAAGGAGAGACTGGAATTTGTACAGGTTGAGAGAAGCAGAGATGAACAATGGTTGGGGACACAGCGGCTGTGAGAGGGGCAGGAGTGTGTGCTGGTGTGCAGATGGTGAGTAAATTTCTGTGACATGTGATTACAGGAAGATAAGAGGTCCACTGAGGGGCAGAGGCTGAGCCATGTAGGCAGAAGTTAGAAAAGTTCTATAAAGGGAAACTGGTGACCCAAAGAATGGGAAATAGGGAAATAGGAAGAAAAAGCATTCAAAGTCTATATTTCCAACTGGATACAAATTAAAAGAAATTTAATATATGATATTCTAAAGCATTCTTTTCTACATTTTTTAAAAAGCTAGAAATTCAATGATGCTTAATGCTCTGAATGTGGTGGCCTAACCATTATTTCCACAGGGCTAAATTCTTCGATTTTATTTTGTTGAGGGGAATAATTACTCTGATCCAGTTATTTTTATACACAGAGTTTAAACATTTGATTAGAAACTTCACTGAAAACTGCACATCTCATTGTGTGCTTAACACTCACAAATTTGCTCCACCTGAGAGACGGCTGAAAGCCCAGGCGTAATATTGCACTAATGCCTTTCTAACCGGGACAAAATCGGCCTGGGCAAATACATCTGCCACTTACAGTTGGTGACAAGCCTTTAATTAATTGAGTTTACAGTTTTGTTTTCTCTTTTTATTACTTCTCTTAGCCTAATGTCCATTCTCTATACCCCTAGAAGAGGAACAGGGAAATGCCAGGTGAAAAATAAACTTCCACCAGCAATATTTGCAGAGCTGTTTCTGGTAAACAGTCAAATTCACCAGGCTCTTATATCATCATTTATTTGCACCTGTCTTTTAGCATGGCTTTTTGTGCTGCCATAAGCAATTCTTAATTTCCATCAATAACCTTTCATTTCAAGCATGGCCAGTTTGCATTATGAGAATGAGAGCTGAGAACCATCCTTCTGGAAGCTGGAAATTGAGGACTATAACCTAGGAGGATAATTTGGAGATTGGGCTAAACTCAACTATCACAGACCAGGTGGAGACCAGTCTGTAAACTGGGTTCATTTGGGTCACCTCACTGGGAGAAGAGCCCCCAAGTCTAATAGAAATGTTACTAGGAAAAGTTACAAGGATAGTACCTTGTACACCTGGAGTGGCTTTTGCTGTTGATAACATTGTATATGATTAATTTGTGTTGTTAATAACCCAACTAGTGTTAACTACACCCCCCGAGAAATTAAACATGTTCATTAAAACTGCAAGAACTACCTTGATGCCTTCTGAGGTACTTACATCCACTGTAGGAAGACTATGCCTGGCTTCCAAACTGCTACAACTCCCAATAATATCTGAAAAGTACAAGAGAGTTAGAAAGAAAATATTAGTTCTGAATTTTGGCAAGAGGCTAGAAGAAACTCAGATTTGGCAGGGGATAATGACTCAAGAATTGTGTTCAATTGGGTCTAGAGTTAATACTATACAAATTGATCTGATGGCTTTGAAACTTCAATACCAGCTATCCTCTAGACTGAGTACTTCTTGAGAAATAGTAGATATTCAATTCATACTACTTTAATAGCTATTTGACTTACTTGCTGACTGAGTCAGACATTAGAAATGTTACCCTTCAGAACCCTGGCTATAAACCAAGGTAAAAAATTATGACTCAGCATGAGAACGTACCAATTATTGCCAATTAATCCAGAAGTAGCAAGAGGATGGAGAGTGTCATTTGGTTAAAAATGAGTCAATACTAACTGTCAATAATAAGAAAAAGAGATATAGTAAAGCAAATGGGGTTTGGGGAGGTTTATTAGTTTCACCTTTTCAGTTCACAGTAAGCATGATACATTTCTTATTCCCCATTAAGAGAAAAGATGAATCAAATAAAACTACATCAATTTTCATTCTCTGTGGTTCCAAATTAATCATGTTACACAAGTGGCTTCTCAAAATCACATGCTGGTTTTCAGAAGAGAAACAAAAATATGACTAGAAACAGAGTCTCTCTTTCATTTGTTACTCAGATGAGTTTGGTACGATGCTGTTTAGCATATGTGGTAGGTTTAACCAGTGGGATCAGGACTTTGCCAAGAACATTTCAGTGACATTACTTGGTCCTAAAGGGAGGCTCCTCTAAGATATGCCTAACACCAAGGTACAGGGAGAAGGGGTTAAATTCTATGGACACACAGCAATATTCTGTACTCAGACATCCCAAAAAACAAACACTCTTGCCACAATCTTAGGCAAGCATCTCTTACATCTTGCATCTAACCTAACAGCTTAATTAACAAATTATTAAAATTCAGTTCACAAATATTTTCAGCACTTTCTATTTGGTGGAATCAGCCCCTTCCAAACCACTGATACCACATAGTGACAGATATTTGTTATTTGGATTGTCTTCTTAGAACTTGGGTGAATTATGCAAAAACATGACCTACAGAGCAACAGGGACAGCATTCACCAGAGCTGAGTAAAGTCAGGAGTGGTCATACGTAACCAAGTGGCCCAAGGCATGTTGAAAGAATGATGGAGGGTGGCTGGGATACCTGAATCATCACCTAGGAAGAACCATGATCATAGTCACAAACATCTAGGGAGAAATCCAAAATAGAAAAGAAGCAATACTAGTGATAGCCGAGGAGATGGAGATCATGTGGTAATGCAAAGGGAAGAATGAGTAGGCTGAATGATCAGATCTAAAGCCAAGAATTCAGAATTTCATTTGGAACTGAAATTTTCTTCTATATGTCATCTGGTGCAATGAGAAGGTAGGGCAGCACAAAGATCCTAACCATAAGAATGTTGCCCATCAAAATCTCCTGCCATTTCACCAAGTAGATGACTATGGCAGGTTTTTGGAGTATGTCTGAGCTGGTACGTTGGGACTCTCAGGTCTTAAATGTCCTAACTTTCATTGCTAGTTCTGCTTGGAATTTAAAATGAGTAGCATCGCTCATCGACTAAAGTCTACCATCTTTTTTTTTTTTAATCAACTACAACATTTAAAATGGATGTAAGCAGGGAGAGGTATTAATGTGACATTGCTCCATGTATTGAAAAGAGAGATCTGCATATTTTTTGGTTTTATTCCTCACTCTTTCACTATCTTTTAAAACATTTTGATATTTTGATTGGCATGTTATTTCATATCTGGGGTGAAAGATCATGTTAGGATGTGTCAGTAAAGCCCAGTTAATTAATTTAATTGCTATCACTAAGACAATTTTACTATTGCATTTTTCTATATTAAAGAACAATTTGCAAACTACAAAAAAGTGTGAATTTTGTAAGAAAGTACAACTTGTAGATCTTTAAATATGATACTTTATCATAAGTAGTCAAATTTAAAGAGCTTATTATGCTAAACGTTTTCCCAGAGTTTTCTAAAGTTCGCAGATCTAGGGCAAGTGATCATTCCCTACCCATTCTTTTTCCAGACAGATGAGGTAAAGGAAACAACCAAGAACCCAAAGGATACTGTGGTTTTGATACCATCATAGAAAGAATTACACTCAGGAAATCTAATAGGAATGGCTGTTTCAATGGGCTCAAGTTTAGGGTCCGTGAGGGGCAGAACCGACAAATTTCTGCCCACTAAAGAGTTGAGACAAGAGTCAGAGAGACAATAGATTTGTGCAACCCAGAATTCCCTCTTAGCACTTGAGTTGAACCAAAGAGAAGCAAGAGGTAAGAGGCAATAGTCAATCCCTTAGTATGCCCCTTTCTCACACCTTTCTCATTTCTCAAAGCTGACCTACACTTGCTTTTCATGCATCACTTCTTTTTAACTCTGTATTGTTTCCTTCACCTTTAATAGGAGTTCTGCTTTTCGAAATCCCCATTAACATTTATTTTGCAAATATCAATCCCAGGATTACTCTAGATACACAGAAGAACTGAGATGTCTTTCCTTTTAACTAAAGTGGAATAAAGAAATAAAAGCTGTGCTGGAAAATTAGAGAAAAGATATTATTAACTGTAGTCATGGTATACTAGGAAATATGTAGGAAAAGGATTTATCAGCAGCTATCAGAGTTACATGATCATCACTTCCATTTGCTCAAAAAACACAGACAAAGGTGACCATTACCACAAATATTTTTCTAGTCTTTTATTTCTCCAGTTTCAAATCTTCTTGCTTGGTATCCTTACTGACCAGCCCAGGAAATGCAGAACAAGGGCTTGAGAAGCTCAGCTTCTTTGATTTCTTTAGAAACAAGTTGTCAGAACTTGCCATTGTTGAGCTAGCCTCACCTGCCCAAACACCAACTTAAATAAACTAACAGTACCCGAAACAAAAGGAATTTCAACCACGAGTGTTAAATAAGCCCCCAAATGGCAGAGACTGATGGGTATTGTGGCTCAGTCTGAGCAAAGATTGAGATGTTATTGTAAGCCTTCAGTTTGACTGTCAACATGCATACCTGAGTGTCGGGGTGGGGCGCAGTGGGGTGGGGAAGAGGGGAGTCCACACTCCTAGAAACAGACACTTTCTTAATTCTGTGTTCTTGCATCTACTACTCGTACTCAGCCTGGCAAGACACATGAAAAAAAAAAAAAAATTAAAATGCCAGAACTTCTTTTGCTATCAGGTACTCCAAAAGAAATGTAAATTAGTGTCTGTCATAAAGTTATGGAGAATGAATTAAAGTCATTAATGCTAACACATTATTCACAAAATGTAACACTTTTTCCAAAGTAGAAGCTCAATCAATATAATGCAATAAATCAAACATGATTCAGTAGGGGAAGCAACCGATTTCTAGTTCGCTTTAAAGGGATTTGGGATAAAGAAGCAGAACAGGTTACTGTTTAACACATTTTTCACATTTTTCACTAAAAATAGACAAAATGTCTAATTTCAGGCTCTGAACAGAATGTGTTTTAATGCGATTTCTTTGAAAATCACTGTTTCTTGTGCACCTCTGAATATATACTCAACGTGAATTAATTACCACTGGTTCCTTAGCTTATATTTTAGTCACTGCAAAAAAATGAAACCTGTCCCCTTTGTCTCTTCACTAGAAACAGCAATATCTATGTCATTAGCATGGTGTATGGCCCTAGAATCAATGTGACACGTGGAAAGTTTTTCTGTAAAACTGGGTTACATGGAACCATTATGTCTTACGTGATTGTGCCTCTGAGACCTTTGATAACATTTGCTCAGTTTCTTTTGTTTTTCCTGTTAACATTTTCATTTCAGTGTTGCTGATAATTTTCTATTATCTCTCCCCTCTTTATATTTCTCGTGTATTTCCCTTTCAGATAGTCTCATTGAATTAACTGAAGAATAAAACTATATAATATAGTCTTATTATAAGCAGAAGAAAATGAAGATGATCTGATGAGATAAATCACTAAAGGTTAATAGCTTTTTTAAAATCAATCTTCCTTCAAAGGAAAAGGCTAAATGGCTTAGTGGATGAAACGCTAGCCTCTCACCTCTGAGACCATAGTTCAAGTCTAAACTGTGAAGCCTTAAGTGACATGTTTACTGGGTGGAGATCAGTCTCTAGTGGACAAAAATCTGCACTGCATGAGTTTGAGGCCACTGCAATGACCCTCTCCCCGCACCCCCAGACCGGCAGTGGGCCTGATGTGTTTTGTGTTCCCAGTGCATCTTGTCCCTTTGGAAACAGTCCAGGTAGGAGTTAACATCACAGTCAGGAAATGGTGATGTTTTCAAAGCTGCTTCCTCAAATAGCACCAGTGCTGTGAAGTCACTAGAGGCTGCTGCTTCCCCATCTGACCCCTCAGCTGTCACCCAAATAACCTGACCTTCCCCTCCTATAAACTGAGTGACACTTCTTGCTGTCAATTAACAAACTAGGACAAACAGAATTGATCATCTGGCTATTCCAGACTAGCTAAAGACTCACTTACCAGAGGATGGTTACTCATGTGGAAGAAAAACTTCAGTAATTAAGTTCAAATACATTCAAATAAAATAGGGAGGCATAAATACACATGCGTGTGTGTGTGTGTGTGTGTGTGTGTGTGTGTGTGTGCATACTCATATATAAATGCATATATGTCTAAAAGTGTGTGTAGTCATGTTTTAATAGATATAAGTTTGGACCATCCATTTATCCACATTGGTAATCCTCCATTGCTGACTACTTAAAGGTCTGCTTTGTCTTCACTCCATAGACACGTGTTTATCAGTTTCCGTCCTTCAATAGTAGAGTGCACTGCATTTTGAGCTTCCAAAAGAGATATACAAACTGTTTGCAGAACACACACGTGGCACAAATAGCTGTTATTTAAAGAGATTGCAGTCAGCTCAATTTTATGTGCAAAGATGTATACATCGAATAATCCTATTACAGTGTCCAAC